TTTTTTTTTTTTCAAATAAATACAGTAGTGGGCAGCCACTGTTCTGTTCTTCAGCAATTTATCTCTGAGTTTTGGTGGGGCAGTTCAGGTGTGCAAAAAAGGGTTTGGAAGTTAGATATAGCTTATAGATTGCCTGTCCTTCTCATAGAAGGACAAGAAGAAGGATCTGTGTCCTCTGCTTGTTATTATCTCTGCCATCTCTGCATTGTGGTATGTCACCAGCTATTTTCCAGGTAATTTAAACTCTATTTCTGGAACAAGGAAGGGGAGGAAGATTTTAAATGAAAGCTGATATTCTCATAGGAACTTATGAAACGTCTTTTTTCTAGTTGGCACTTGCACAAAATAATAAGCTACGGTTTCTAGAAATTAATGGGCAGGATTCATCCTTCCTAGCTGAAAGGAATTATCCATGCATTACTTTACATGGTGTAAATTACTTTACATCAGCTTTGCCCAGCCTGAGTCACTCCACATATGTATATTATACTAGAATATAATGATTACGTTGGTTGAGGATGGTGGGAGTGGTAGTCTACCACAACTTCAGGGCTCTGGCTTGACAAAAGATGCCCTAGAACTGTTCACACAATCTTTTAGGCCAGTGCATATATTTAGAATTTTGAGAATGTATTTCAGGCACCCTTATAAAATACTGTTGTTGTAGGCAAGACCAGTCACAAAATACCAATTTAGCAGAAAGTAACCTGCAGTATTGCACTACTACCACCTTTGGCCTTTGGGGATCATTGAATCATAGGGTAGGAAGGGGGCTTGGAGGTCTTCTAGTCGAACCCCCTACCCAAAGCAGAAATTCTCAGACCATCCCAGACAAATGGCTGTTTGAACTTTGCTTGAAAACCTCCAGTGATGGAGCACGTACAACTCCAGGAGACTGGTTCTTCTATCGCTTCGTAACTCTCACAGTCAGGAAATTCCTCATTTCACGTTTGGATCTCTTTCTGTAAAGCTTCCATCCTCTGGTTCTTATCTACCCTTAGGCACTATGGAGAATAAATCCACACCCTCTTCCCCTGCAACAAGTAATGGAAGATTGCTACCATGCCCCTCCCCCTAGCCTTCTCTTCTTTAGGCTAAACATACTCAATTCTTTTAATCATGCATAATTTTGTACACCTCAATCACATCCCCTCTCATTTGCCTCTTTTCTAGACTAAAAAACCCAAAATGCTGCAGTCATTCCTTGTAGGAAAGTTGCTCCAGCCCCTAGATTATCTTGGTTGTCCTCCTCTGAACCTTCTCTAGCACCACTATATCCTTTTTGAGGTTTGGTGACCAAAACTGGATACAGCATTCCAGGTGCAGTCCAATTTATGCAGCATTGAATGCATCAATCACTTCCTGTGATCTCAACGTTATGAATCTCTGTGGATGCCATCCAAGATTGTATTGGCTCTTTTGACAGCTGCAGTACACTGCTGGCTCTTGTTTAATCTGTGGTCTACCAGGACACCCAGACCCTTCTCACAAGTACTACTGCTGAGCCACGAAGCACCTATCTTGGCCCTGTACATCTGATTATTAGGTCCATCTCAATGTATTTTTGCCTTTCTTTTCTAGATAGATATACTTCCAAAAAAAAAAACAAAAAACCCTAGGTTATAGTCAGCTGTTATTTTTATTTATTTTCTAAGAATGCCTCTGGGCTATATGTGGTGCATAGAAGCCTTCTTGAAAATAAAGGGCTGCCAGTTTCTGTTGTTTTTTTTTCTTAAAAACTAAAATAATCTTTAAAAATAATTGAATAAATTCCGATGAGACATGGTGCCTGGCAAACATCAGTGAAGGTGTCCATGGTGCCACACTAGGAACTTTGCAGCTGCAACAATTTTGCAGTCACTATTAAATTGGCTTACAGTTCATAAACTACATCAAATTGTTTATATGTTTAAAGTTGGAGTGGCATTGACTAGCTTTTTTCCAAACTAAGTCCCTCAAAGGAACCAATATGTCCTGTCTTCCCTTCCACACCCGACCCATTTGTTTTACAGATGGAACAAGGGCAATAGAAAATGGTGTTTATCAGTCAAAAGTTTATCCCCTGCAAAATATAGCTGGCAATATAGAAAAGTAGAATGAGATAGCAGCTGGGTGCTGGATGAACTGGAGAAAGTGCTGTTGGATTAACACTGGGGAGATTTAGAGGGCCTTGACCTTACTGGCATTTTGTAAGGTGCTGAAAACCTGGTTTCAATCCTGGGCATTGGCCAGGATGTAGAGTGAGTTCATCCTGGTGTTCTGTTAATATGTTTGTTGAGTTCTTCTAGGTGCATTGGGGTATTTTAATTGCTTTTAAATTTTTTAAATTGTTATTATTGGTCCTTCTACTGTTTATTAGCCACCCAGTGTTGTATGTTGAGTTGGCAGCCATATGTATTTAAATAATAAGTAAGTTTGGAGACCTAGTTCATCCACCGTTAGCTAGGAAAGTACACTGGATGATTTTGAATTTCAATTTTTATCTTCCCAGGTCATTATTGTTGGAAAGATAAAATTGGAGGAAGTTGTGTTATGTACTCACTGATTTTGAGCAGGGGAGGCAAGGTAGAAATCTAATGAATACATAAGATTAAGTAAATAATGGTGATCTCTGCATGTTCTCATTGTTTTCACAAATTCAGATGATTGCAGGCCTGCTTTAAATAGAGGTAGAAACAGTGGCAGGTTGTAAGCACCTTGAAGCTTTCCCCAAAATGTCCTTTACTGGCACTTTTCCTCTGGGGTTTCCTTATTCTTCACCTTTCCTGACTGGGAAAAGGTATTTCTGATGTCCTGAAGTGAAGCTTCTTGAGGTTTCCCTCACTCCTTGCCTTTCATACTGGGAAAAGCGGGGGGTGAACAAATCCTGCTCACTATGTGTGAAGCAGCTCTCTGTATGCTTGTGTAAAAAATGCATAGCTAAAAAAGAGTTGTGTGAACTGGATGTCCATGCTGGACCTGTTGGTAGTTCTTTCCCTCATGGCTTTATTTCATCTTTTTAAAAATATCCATCCACCCATCCATTTTATTAGCAATGGACTCCTGAAGAAAAATGCGCCTTGTTGAAGAAAATGTGTTTTTCTCCTGCTGGTCCATTCTGAGGGATAGCACCTGGTTCTAACCCTCCATTCAGATGATATTGTCTTAAGCCTTTAGGCCTGGAAGAGATAACCAGGGGTCCTCTGGATATTTTACACTACGACTCCCCTATTCCTGAACTTCGACTATGTTGCTGGCACTAATGGATGTTGTAACACACAGCCAATGAGGATATCAAGTTGCTTGCTTCTCCTTGTGCATGCTTTAACTCCATAGTAGCATTCAAATCTACCCTAGCTATCTGAAAAGATCCAGAAGTCTGATAAGCTATTGTGGAAAGATTAATAGGGATTTCTAAAGCCCAAGAAGAAATTCAATAGCGGCAGCAGCAGCTGATGTCAGGAAAGCAGCTGATAAATGCCCTTTGAAGGAACCAAGAAAGAGAAAGGGAGAAGCAGAGTATCTCAGCAATTTGCACCATTCTTTGCCAATAGATCTGTGTGCTGAATTGTGTTGATTGAACAAGTGCGGGCCTGCTCTGCCGCCAGTTCTCAAAAACACTTTCTCAGTCAATAGTAACAGATTGTTTGTTTGCTAATTGGAGAGCAGTGTGGGTTGGGCAACAAGAGGTTTGGGCGAGATCTAATCCAGAGAGAGTGGAGGTGGGGAGGCAGGATTCTTGATCCATCCACATTTTTCAGTGTTGCGTAAACCCAGAAAGAACAAAGGCTTCAACAACACTTGCCATAGTAGCTCAGATTAAAGAGATTAAACGAACGCCACTGTTTGCCTTGTCTGTCTTTGGGGTGCAAATGCTTGGCTTGAAATATAGGAATATAAGGCTATCCATGGAGGAAAAGTCTACTGGTGGTTATATAGAAACTTCAGTGTCAGAAGAGGCAGGATGCTTCTGGATTCCAGTTGCTGGGAAACATGTCCTGCTTGTGAATTTCCTTCTGTGGGAAACAAGGTGTTGGTCTGTATAGGCCTTTCATCCGATCCAGGACAACTTTTTATATACTCTTATGAACACCAGGGTTAGGAGACCCCAAGATGAGGCTTTACAAATAGCTGTGGAAAGAAGGAATGCGAAAAGCAAGGGTGAAAGGGAAAGATATAAGCAACTGAATGCAGATTTAGATATGAAAGGAACGTTTAGTGCAAAGATGGGCATGATAAAGGACAAAAAAGGCAGGGACCTAACAGAAGCAGAAGAGATTAAGAAGAGGTAGATATGAAAGGAACGTTTAGTGCAAAGATGGGCATGATAAAGGACAAAAAAGGCAGGGACCTAACAGAAGCAGAAGAGATTAAGAAGAGGTAGATATGAAAGGAACGTTTAGTGCAAAGATGGGCATGATAAAGGACAAAAAAGGCAGGGACCTAACAGAAGCAGAAGAGATTAAGAAGAGGTAGATATGAAAGGAACGTTTAGTGCAAAGATGGGCATGATAAAGGACAAAAAAGGCAGGGACCTAACAGAAGCAGAAGAGATTAAGAAGAGGTAGATATGAAAGGAACGTTTAGTGCAAAGATGGGCATGATAAAGGACAAAAAAGGCAGGGACCTAACAGAAGCAGAAGAGATTAAGAAGAGGTAGATATGAAAGGAACGTTTAGTGCAAAGATGGGCATGATAAAGGACAAAAAAGGCAGGGACCTAACAGAAGCAGAAGAGATTAAGAAGAGGTAGATATGAAAGGAACGTTTAGTGCAAAGATGGGCATGATAAAGGACAAAAAAGGCAGGGACCTAACAGAAGCAGAAGAGATTAAGAAGAGGTAGATATGAAAGGAACGTTTAGTGCAAAGATGGGCATGATAAAGGACAAAAAAGGCAGGGACCTAACAGAAGCAGAAGAGATTAAGAAGAGGTAGATATGAAAGGAACGTTTAGTGCAAAGATGGGCATGATAAAGGACAAAAAAGGCAGGGACCTAACAGAAGCAGAAGAGATTAAGAAGAGGTCGGCAGAGGATGAGATGGTTAGATAGCATCACTGAAGCAATGAGCATGAAACTGAGCAAACTCAGGGAGGCAGTGAAGGACAGGAAGGCCTGGCGCAATATGGTTCATGGGGTCACGAAGAGTCGGACACGACTTAACGACTAAACAACAACAACAACAAAAAATCTGAAACCTCCTTTTTGTTGCTGTTTTTCCGTGTTGTTATTAAATCACTCTGTGTTGAGTTAGTAGGACTTCTGACCTCATACAGCCACCATTCACCTCATTTGTCAAACATATTTGTCAAATTTCTAAAGCTGCCCAAATCCATCATGTGACATACAATATTCAAAACAATTGAAAATAATTATAACCAGCAAAAAGAATGATAGATGTCTAGAAAGAACAGGAAAAGTGTAACCCTCCACCCCCATATTCCCCAAAAGAGCCCACCATACTCCATAACCCAAGGCTTGGGGGAAGAGCCAGCTCTTCAAGGTTCACTTAAACAAAGTCAGAATAGGGATCGTTTGAATCTCTGAGGGATGCTGTTCCAGAAGACAGGCACCACAAAAGAGAAGGCCTACTTCCTGAGTTCCAGCAAGTGCCACTGTTTAATTGACCCAACCTGAAACATGCCAACTCTAACTGTGTAGGATAGACAGATATCACAGGAGACAGATGGTGCCTCAAACAACCAAGCTCTGAAGGGTTTTATAGGTGATCATCAGTGCCCTGAATTGTACCCAGAGCCTACTGGCAACCAGTATAGTTCACAAAGCAGAGGTATTATGGGCATAATGTGGCATGCCCATAACTCCTTGGGCCACCATATTCTGGACCTCTTGCATTGCAGGATCCAAGTAGTCTTCAAGGGCAGCTCCATGTAGAGTGCATTGCAGTAGTCCACACATGAGGTGAACAAAGCATGAATGACTCTGAGGAGGGCCCTCCTAGTCCAGGAACAAGCATAATGTCAGAACCTGCATCAATCAGATGTTATTTTAAAAAGTTATAGCAGTCAATGTGTATTTGCTTGATTTGATTCTGCCATTTGTATCTGGGGGGAAGAATGGTAGTTTATAGTTGTGTTTGGGTTATTGCTATTACTGGTGGTAGTCTGAAGGCTGAGAAGAACTGTTATCAATGGGAGAAATGTACAAGGCCACCATTCTGTGAGAAAGGATTTTGGCGCCAATGTAGTAAAGGGGGGGAATAAGTAGAGGGAACTTTACACAGGCTTTAGTTTTAGCAATGCTTTGTTG